TGTGGCGGGGGGCGGGGCGCATCGGGCCAATCGGCTGCGGCGGCGGGTGATACGGATGTGCCCGTAGGCCGCGAGGCGTTGGGGTTGTTTGGGCGCCGGTCCCGGTCCCGGTCCCGGTCCCGGTCCCGGTCCCGGTGGTCGGGATAGTATCGCCCCTCCTCGGAGTGTTTGTTCAGCTGGCGCTTGAAGCGCGGGCCCTGCCTCTGGACGGCAGTCCCGGGAGCTTCGCTCAGCCGCACGGCCTCGGGCGAGGAGCCCCGCCGCGTTCCCGGGCACCGGCCGGCGGCCTCGGGTGATCCTTGGCGAAGAGCCGCGGAGTTTCGCCGTGTAACGTGTGTGTCTGGCCAAGGGAGCTCGCGGGGCTGCCCGAGGAGGCAGCGCGTCAGGCTGCCGCAGTCTTACGCGTTTGGTAAGAGAATGCCCTTCTCAGAAAATGGTCTCAAAATTCCTCGTCTGTGCTAATCTGTTTGTGAGTGGAAAATTAAAATTCAATGTCACTTCAATTAAAGCTTATTTGCTAGGTTAAGGAAAAAAAAGCATGCAAGGTATGTAGAATACAGGGGGGAAATGTCAAGTATGCTTTGTATTTAAAAACTTAACAATTCCTGAAACTAAAAAGTATAGGTAGTTAGCAACTAGAAATGGAAAGGTTTCTGCTTATCTTGGCCCTACAGTATATCTCAGTGTTACAAACCAGTTTTACAGGTTAAATGGAAAAAAGAAAACCATTTTTTCTTTCAATTCCTAAACCAGTCTGTGACTAGACTAGATATTGAGCTAATGTGAAGAAATGATTTATTTAATTTTTTTTGATGGCTGACTTGACATAGATGGTTCAGTAGGTCAACTACTCCCATTCCATTTTTTTTTTCTTCTCTCCCAGTGGTTTGAATTTCCTTAAAATTTCAGTGACCAAGCCTATTGTAAATATAATTGGTTCTGTATTTCAGTATTTTAGTCAGGCCTTATCACAGATGGATATCTTTCAAAATATTTCTAAAATATTTTTATGAAGAAAAATGCCTATTTGAGTTTGCCTGACTTGTGTATTTAAAATACGTATTTTTGTAAGAAGCTAACTTTTCCAATAATGTTGAGTCTTGCCCAAAGGGCAGTTCAGAACTCCTTTTGCAGCTGGGACACTTGTTTTGTTTGTGTCTCTGTCTTCCCCAATGTCTATCAGCTTTCACGAAGCTTTGGAGCATTTATCTATGTCGCTATGCATTTCTAAATCTACCTGAAATTCAACAGAAATTTCAGAAACTACTGGTAGGAACAGGTCTGCATAGAGATGTGTACACCGTACTGTTGCATAATATTTTTACTTTAGTTAAAAACTAGACCTGAGCTTTCCAAACAAGTTTGTCTTCAAGTCCATTTATTTGCCTTCTACAGATTTGAGAGCGATTTAGCATCTCCTTGGGGTGCGTTCCTCTTTCTCCAATTGTCTCTAGCAAGCATCATGAGGTTTCTAAGAGGTTTTACCATATCTTTTGATGCCTCCGAAGAAGAAATGTACCCACAAGGCCAGGAAGGCAGAGCTGATATTCCTTGAGAGGCCGCGAGAGGGACCCGTCCATTGCTATGAAACTCCGCTAACTTCAGCCGAGAATCCAAGACGTGTTCCTACAAAACCCATAGACCAGAACACCTCTGCTGCCTGGGTTGGTATAGATTATCCTTCCCCCTGCATCCCACAGCAACGGTTTTAAAGTTTTTCCTGTATGTCTCAACGAAAACTGTCTGTCCTGGGTACTGAAAAGTCAGCAGCACAGACCTGAATTCATTATAGCTTCCTAAAGCATAAATAAATGCTTTTGAGTTGCTTCACATTCTAACTACTAAGGTCGTGGTTATTTGAAGGCATAAAACTGTGTGCAGTGTGTACTGATTAATATGACTACTTGTCTTCTGAAAAAATAATTATCAGGAAAATGCTGTTTTCTATGGCAACTGAAAACCTTGCGCATAATAAACACTAGGGGGAAATTCTTATTGGCTAGATACTTGAAATAACTGCTGAACTCTAAATGTTACATGTTAAGGTACTAGGTGTTTTATTAAAGCCTGACACTGCTCAATGTAAAGAACATAGGCTTTCACTTCAGGATTATTTGTTCTAAGCTGGCCTCTTTTCCGTTCTGTGTGTTTTATAGTTTCTCTCCGTATCAGTCTTCTGATGGGCTCCTTTTCTGGTCTGAAAAAATATTCCAGGGACTGTTTGCAATGTCCGAAGAGACTCCTTATATCATGTAATGTAAAGATTTTTATTTTTTTTCAAGCAAACGGGTGCTGCAAAGACAGACTGTTCCTATACAACAATAGCCATCGCCTAGGGGAGCTCTGTTTAAGCACTATTGCTGCTTGACTCTCTGGTTTTCACAAAGCAGGCTCAGGAAGCGTGACTTGAAACCTGCATGAAACATTCCGTTGTTCCTGGTGACCTGGAGTTATTTTTGTGATGCTTTAACCTTGCAGTAGAACATATCTAATTTTTTCCACTTTAATTTTTTTTTATGTGCTTGAGGCAGTTAGATCTATGGCTTCTGAAACATTAAGTAAAATAACTGCTGTGAAAAAGCATTCTTTGTGTTTGGAAGAGGTGGAAATAACCACACTGGTACTTAGCTCTTTGATTCCAAACATATAATGATTCTAAAATTTGTTTGAAGCTATCAGCACTGAAACTGTTAGATATTTTTCCATTTGAGAAGCTTGGTAAGTTTGTAACTTCTTGAAGCATCCTCTGCAGAGTTTTGTCAATTTGTTTCAGTGGCAACTGATTTTCTGCTCCTCTATCCTTGGGTTTATCCAAGTTTTTTATACCTTCTTGACTGCTAGGCTTCCACACTGGTAAAACCTACCCTGCATGTTCTCAGAAGCCAGGAAGCCATATCCTCAAAGTTCACATATGTTCTTTTAAGTATCTGCCAGGATACAATTATGAGGGAATCATTTATCTCTTTTCCTGAACAAAGGCTTTGCATTCAAACAGTTCAGCTGTACAGCAGACAATCACTATGCTTGATTAAATTGCACTTAGTTTATTGAGGGACTATGTAGTAACTTAGGAATGCTGAAAGGTATCTCTAGTTATTGTAGCTAGGACCCAATTTACTGTGCTCTCGGGAAAAGGAAATTGCGAGAAACAGAACCTAACTCTTTTTGTTGATACCTAGGAAGATAAAGAATACTATAACAGAAGGATTTCCAGGTTTTGAGTAAAAGTCCAGAATCTTTCAAAGAAATATAGATGGTTGAGCTTTGAGCAACTTCTATCAAAAGCCAATTTAAAAGTGGCTGTTGGATGATCTGTCACTCCAGAATACAGAGATTAACTATGTTTCAAAGTAAAGATGTTTTGGGGGAATATTCTGAAAGCCTTATTAAGGTATGTTAAGGTGATTGAGCTAAGTGGGCATCCTTTACATCATTCTTTATTGCTCTTAGTTCAACCTCTACCTGTTCAGGGAGACTGAAGATGTAGTTCATTGAATCTATTCAGCGTTATAAGGCACAGAAAGAAACAGTATCCAGCTCTGAACTGGTTTAAATCTGCAGCGGTTACAGGAGTAGACACCAGTTAAGACTTTTCTTTAAAATGCAAATCTTGGGTGCTGTGGAAGTTGCCAGAGAATATCTCACTTGCACCCCGATCACTTTTCAGAGAAGACTGGCAGAACATGACATTGAAGTTCAGAGGTATCTCCTTGCTTAGCAGCTTGGTTAGTGACTGATTTGCTTTGCTGCAGATCAGATTACCCACTTAATGAACATCAGGAAAAAAAAGGTAGGATAGGTGAGGGAGTAGAATCAGGTTGGCATTCCTTTGTCTGGAGAAAATTGTGTTGTTTTGTGGTTTGTTTGTTTGTTTTTTTATTATGAATATGTCTTTCCCTTCAGGTGCGCCCACAATTTGAAGCAACTAAGTCAGTGGTGTTGAAAACACGTGAGAAGAAGCGTTGTGGTCCTCACAAACCCCAGAATCAGGATGCCAACCACAGTTCGCTTCATGCAGGAGGAGCTTGTCGAAGACCTATAGCCTGCAAATTTCCTCCTTTAACTTTTGAGTATCCAGATGGACATGCAGTCCACTGCTCAGGTAGTCCGAATCGCTCGAGGAAGAACACACAGCACTCTCACATCCAGGTGAACAGCCCAGAGAACTGCAGAGAAAGTCCTTTGTTACCTGCTCCCCAGACTGTGGAGCCAGAAGTCTTTAGTCCACCAGATGTAGAGACTCCACAAACGCCTTCCGTAAGGAACTGGAGACACAGCAGCACTCTGCCACAAGGAAGTAGCCATGCCTGGCATCCAGAAAAAGAGCTGGCATTTGGTATTGACCCCTGTGGGAGAGAGGAGTCAGCAGCAGTACTGGTTACAGATACTCCTGAACATGAGTATGGAGTAAAGGTTACTTGGAGACGGCGGCCTCATCTGATGAAATACCTGCGGGAGAGAGGGAAGCTGAGCACTGCCGACATACTGGTGAAGACGAACACCGAGTTCTCTAAGGAGACAGGCCAACGGCCGACCTGGTGGGAGCAGTAATTTGGTTATGTGCAAATAGACAATATTACTCTCGAGGACCAAGAGGGGTGACAATTTAAGCCAAGCCTTGTGCTACGGCTGGCTGATCCTCCTAAGAAACACCGCAAAAGCCCGGGGGGGGGGGGCACGGGGGATGGGACACGTCGTCTTGGTGGTGGGGATACGTTGGGCCGGGCTTCCTTGGGGAACGGAGTGGCTCTGAACAGAGCTTTCCAATCTACCTGCCGCCTTGTAGGGGCTGTTACCCCAACCCCAGCGGAGGCAGAGGGGCGGAAGCAGCATGGC